GGATTTTATAAAATAAAAAGCAGTTGAAACTGCATTTTTATGAATAAAAATTTGACAAACTATTTATCGTTTTATGACGAGTAAAATTTTTTCGTCGCGTTCGCGGCTTTTAAGTAATGCATAGACCTTCGAGGCGCGAGGCCCTTCAGACCGCGAGGCATAGGCTGTGGCCCACGTCGTTCATGCCTTACGCCGCCCTTGGTCATAGAAATGATGTAATTTGAATATATAATATATATAAATACGTATGTCAAGTTATATCTTTATTACTACGTAAAATATATTTAAGAGTTTACGACCACTGTGCTGGGTGATACGTTGTTGAAACAAAAAAAGTTATGCATTCCATCACGTACATAAACAGTGTCGTAATTCACCAAGTGCAAATCAGCAAATTCGTAAAATTTTTGTTTATTTTGAACAATCCGGATAATCGAAAATCCGGATAATGGAGGTCCGGATAATGGAGGTTCTACTGTAATTGGATTCTTCTTAGTCCTCTCGTTTAACATTTTATCAATTTCAAAATCCACTATACCTTTTAACTTACTGTACGAATCTGTTCTTGCTTCTAATAAATGTATTTTTTTGTACATATCTTTCAACTCTTCCTTGAACTTTAAATTTTCTTCATTCATTTTGTTGATTTCAGCTCTCATAGAACAGACTTCAAAGTTCAAACGATCAAATTTGTCTTGGATCAAATCATAGACCGATTTAAGTGAGTATTCGGGTTCAGTAATCTTTGTTGATAGATCTTCTTTTGGTTCAAAAAAGCCTTTTATTGTAGCACACTTCGAGATATCAGTAGTATTCTTGGAATGTTCCTCAATTAAGTATTCCTCTTCTGACATTTCGGTTATCTGAGTATTTTCTTCTATATCTCTTGTATGCTCTCTACATGGTCTCCCTCACCCCCTTTTTTGAATAACTACTTGACTTGGTGTTGGAAGAGATCGAGGAAGGAGTCCAGGATTTAACTCAATGCCAGCAATCATTAGTAAAATAAAAATTATTATTCGAGTTAATGAAACATTTAAACTACTTATTTCAGTTCTACACTTAATTTTGTGTTGTAAAAATGCCATGGCTAACGTCACCATAACAGCTCAGCAAAAAAGTCACCAACACCCCTGCAGGCAAAACATGCCCCCTCCGTTTTATAGTAATAGATATCATTAATATTAAATAATTCAGGATTTCTATTTTATTAGAAAAAAAAAATCATTTAAAAACTAACCATCAGGCATTGGATCTATCCAATGCTTATTTAAACCTGCTGGAATAGAATCCATTTCTGCTTCTCTCTGTTGTTGTTTTTGTTCACGACGTTCTTTTGCCAGTGCAGACTGCATCATTGCTGCCTGTGCTAAGGAACCATCTGGGTTCTGTAATAAAATATACACATTTATTTTTCAATTCTTATAATAGATAGTGATGTTTTAATCAAAATTCAGAAAACTTTACTGAAACAAACACAGTAGAATTCACTTATTGTAATGACTTTGGAACTTGCATATATTGATAACATTAAGCAAAGTAAGTAATTAAGATTACATGTAATGGAAATTTTGGTTTTATTGACTCTGGAATTAAACAGACATAACAAAAAACTTTTCCTAACCTGTTACCGGTGCGTTCTCCTTCTTCTATAAAAATCATAACCAACAAAAATTACATGCGTTCTCCTTCTTCTATAAAATCGTAACCAACAAAAATAGCTCTTTATTAATGTTTTCGAACCCCAACGACGGTTCTTCTTCAGGTATTTTTGAATCTCTGATGGAAATGCAGCTCATAAAACATCAAATTCGAAAATATGTACATTCGAATGCACGCTTCCCATTTACGTCTTTGTTTGTCATGCACAGTCCATTCCAATATGGCTATCATAAATTACTGTTCATAAGAACCTGCCATGCTACTGATAGTGCAATCTCTTCTTTATGATTGATGCATTAATTATCCTTAAGGTTAGCTAAGTATACGCTGGCCAAGTATATGCCTCCAACCACTTGATATAGAAAAGGTTCTTAAAAATATAGTTTCTTAAAAATATAGACCCCAAATTTAAGAAAGCCAGAATTATTCGCACCACATGGCACATACACCATATCAAGTGGTTGGAGGCATATACCTGGCCAGTGTATACTTAACTAACCTTAAGGATAATTAATGCATCAATCATAAAGAAGAGATTGCACTATCAGTAGCATGGCAGGTTCTTATGAACAGTAATTTATGATAGCCATATTGGAATGGACTGTGCATGACAAACAAAGACGTAAATGGGAAGCGTGCATTCGAATGTACATATTTTCGAATTTGATGTTTTACGAGCTGCATTTCCATCAGAGATTCAAAAATACCTGAAGAAGAACCGTCGTTGGGTTTCGAAAACATTAATAAAGAGCTATTTTTGTTGGTTACGATTTTATAGAAGGAGAACAACGCACATAATTTTTGTTGGTTACAATTTTTAAAGAACAAGGAGAACGCACCAGTAATAGGTTAGGAAAAGTTTTTTGTCAATATTCTCCAATGTTGAGATAAAGATGTGTATTAAACAGACATGTTAAACAATTAAAAATGTATAGCTTGAAGATATATTAATTATGATTATTATTAATATGTAAATCACTTGATGTTGATTGCTTGATATTACCTTTAACAACTAATGTACATTTGATAAAATGGCCAGGACAATAAGTATACACTTATAAAATTTACAAAAATTTCAATATGTTAAAAATGTGCTTACATCTTGTAATTTCTTTGTGTGTAGAAAGAACAAGATAGACAAAATGTAAAGATAATTTTAATATGTTGTGCTTTTTTAATGTTTTCTAAATTTTATAAGCTATTATATAAATTGAAGATAGGCTAACAATTTAAACTATTGAACTGCACACAAATAATGAATAAAATGATTAATGTTTAAAATGCTAATTGACTGATAATGATAATGAATAACAACTGCATGTCATCAGCCACATGTTGAGACTGAAATCATAAAAAACTTCAAATGCCTATCTAAACTAAAAAAAAAAAAACAATTATCAAATAAATAAAGTTTTATATGCATATTTTAAATGAACTGTTTTTAAACCTAGTAATTTTAATAACATTAAACTGATAACTGATAACCTTATCTATAACTACAATAAGCATAGTCTACTGTAATTTATTTGAGTAACAATTAAATTTATTTGTAAAAATTTGATTTGAAATTCAAACTTTATTATTTAATATTTATAATTAAATAAATTAAATACTTTCAATAAATTTTCAGATAATACAAAATTCATTTAACAATTTTTTAATTTTGATGTTAAATAAATCAAGATTTTCTTTAACATTTTACCTTCATTATTCTAACAGGACTTAAATCTTGAATATTTGCTCGTCCATGTCCTCTTAAAAACGGTGGTTCTTCTTCAACAAGCTCAATTTCTATATCTTCGTCTGAAAATATATTTTAAAATAAATATATCAAGAAATTTAGAATAATAAAAAGATTTGTTAGACAAACCATCATCTTCTTCTTTAGGTAATAATCCACTTGTTTCATCAAAATCTGGCAATTCTGATTTGTCTATGCAATTAGCAGACATCATCTAGTGAAATAAAATTTAATTAAATATTTGGTATAACTGATACTATAAATTTTTCTAATCATAAAATTTTGTTTGTATATTATTTCAAATTTGATCGTAAAATAATTCATATTATTAATTTAAATCAGTGCTGCCTACACCTTTTGATAGGTGAAGCAAACTGCATATAAGTCATAAGCAAGCATATAAGTCTACAGATGTTTTGTATACTCCAAAGAAACAAAAAGTAGGATGATTTCTATTATTTATATGTTCATGGACCAGATTTGGCTTGGAGGATGTAGTTTGAATACCACTGGTTTAGATAATCAGTTTTCAGATTCTTAAATAGAATAACTTATAAGCTAAATGATTGCCATATTAAAATCAGCATTTATTTGGCTTATAATTAAACATTGGGCTTTGAAATGTTTGTATATAGAATGACTTAATGAAAATGTGTGCACTTGAGATTGATACAAATCTTTTATTTACTTGTTTAATTTCCCACTTCTCTGGAGATGATATTCGTTGAATTCTTCTTCTGTTATCTACATCATCATCATCAGGTTTGGTTATAAGAGGTAAACTAGATGGTCTATCTGGATTTCGCAGTTTCTCATCTGAATCTTCTTCCACACTTTCTGATATTTGTCGTATGGGGTTTAGATCTTTACCAGTTTCTTGATCAACGTCCTAAAAATATATATATAATGATATAAATCTAACTGTATTCAGATCTTCATTTAAAAATAGTACTGAAACTAATTAATTAATAATATGTTAAAAATGAAAATACTTTGTTACTAATATTTTTTATCATCATTTCTAGATCTATGTAAGTAAATTTTTGCTACCTTTAAATAAATTACAGACTTACATTTACAGCATACATAAGAAGTTTAATGAGGCAGTCATCAAGAATATATTTTTATGACGTTAAAGTATTGGGTTGTCAACTATAAAATGTCCAATTTATTAAATAGCCTTTGATAATACATTATGTGAACTTACATCATTAAGTGATTCTTCATCAGAGAAACTGATGAAAAATCATCAAGAAAATCTTCATCAGTCAGACTTGAGCATGGTACAGAAGGGGTTAAATTTCTCCTGTCTTATCATCAAATTCACAATTTGTTGCAAGTGAAGCTGCAATTGCCATTCTCTGAATGACGGTGTTTCAAAAGCTGATGTGGAACCCAAATGTCTTCCCTCAAGACTTTGCCAATTTATTGCAGGGGGTTTTGTAATGCCTTCTGAGAACACTTCAAAATTTTTATTATTTCATGTTAGGATTCCACAAGAGTTCAAGAAGATCTCACTATTCATCTATATTGGGAAGCTCCACAAGGGTGATCATTGAGGCTGACATCCCCAGAACAAAATTTTGCAAATCACTAGTGACACTTCTGTTCACTCTATATTCTCAAAAACATCATTGATGTTCTTTGTAGTCTGAGTTGCATGTGACTCTTTATGGAATTCAAAAAGCATCAAGTGCCTGATGTGTATTTCTTAAATACTTATACCAGATTGAATCATGACATGAAATAACCATGCAACCAGGTAGAAAAATGCAACACTCCATCTCAATTTAGTTGTTTCCATGATACATATACAAAGTAAGGAGCACAAAGAAAAGAAGTTTCATAGTTGACAACCCAATATCAATATTAAACAGGTAAAACTTTGTCTTTAATTAATAANGTCAACTGTTATTAAATTTTATTAAACTGTTTATATGTTTTTATCTATTAAAAAACATCAGGGCTTTATTTTCAGAGTAAAGATGAGCTACTTGTGTGTGTGTGTGTAATTGCCACTTTTAAAATTATTTTCGGTTTTCTACGTTTTGTAGCTAAATAATATAATTAAATTAAGTGTAGCATTGTAATTTGCGCATGATAAACATATTCGTCTATCTCATTTTATATCTATAAATATAAGAAGTTAAGCGGCGAAGCCATTTTTCTGACGAGATTATGTCTCGGAAAGCACGATAAATACGTGCGTAAATCTTGCACTCGCGCCTGTTTGTAGAAACAATCTCAGCATTTCGTATTTTCTTTTGACACGGTTTTCAATCTCTTGACTATCTACAAGTCTGATTTATTTTCTGTTCGCATGATTTGGGCACCAAACACTCCGTGCCAAATTGCAACTCCTGTCATGAACTCCTTCATACCTCTAAGGTGTACAGCCGTTGTCAGCAGCGCGATTGTTAAGACGAGACAGAGACATACTCTCGTCAAAAATCAATTTATGTTGGATTGTGTAGTAGTTGATTATATTCGAATGTAAACTACGTTTTTCAAACTTAAATAAGAATGTTACTGTTACGTATGTCACATGTTTAATAAAAATATATTCACGACTAAATAGAATTATGTTTATCGGTAAAAGCAATTCGTAAAAAATGGAAACAAATAACAGATTTTAGATGAATATCTTTCTAGGTGTTTAGAATTCTCTGTCAAAAGAAACATTAGATAAATCTCGATTATATTTCGTTGATATACTGGTATTAGTTTACAATTTTGATTTTCGTTAAAAAACTACCTCAAATTTCATTATTGGAGGTGAAATTTGGCGCTGCCATGTTTTAAGTTATTCAATTACATACATTTACTGACATATTTCGAGTATAAAAAATGTCGCGAAATATCATTTATAAATTTTAATAGTTGAAGGTATTCACTTGTTACCTAACTAATTCGGATTGACATTGCCTACGATCGAATGACTAAAATGCTAAAACTTACGTTGAAAATATCATCAAATCAACGAGTTTTTCTTACATAAACAAAAAATGGTAATAGAAAATAAAAGAAAATAGGAAAAAATATAATAAAATTATTTATTTATAAGAAAGTTCTGTCATTTTACCGTAACGCAACGTCGTTCATTAATGCCACATGCAAAACAATAACATTGTTATTTTATGAATCGTTTTTTGAAATATTTTACAAACATATAGTTTATTTTATTCTGGTCATTAATTTTTATTTAATTTCTGCAATTATTTCCATTGAAACTCTACCTACACTCATAAATACTTAATACGCATTTTTTTAAATTCATATTTTTATTAAAAAAAATAAGAACTGAGACGAGTCTTTCTGGTATATTAAACCATTTGTATCTGGTATATTAAACTATTTGTGGACACCACTGATAGTTGGAAGGCTTTAAAAATATTTAATTAGAACATATTGTATGTTGATTTGCATATACAAATGGTTTAATATACCAGAAAGACTCCGTTCTCACACTTTTAGTAAAAAGAATTTTAAAAAATGTGTATTAAGTATTTATGTGTGTAGGTAGAGTTTCAATAGTTCGTGCCTGAACAATGGGCTAGCCACCATGCAGTGTTTTAGATTTTCTTCGTGTGTCTCTCACCTAAACAGAATCCACTTTTCACAAAGGAAGTCCTGCTATAAATTACACCAATGGTAGATCATCCATGTGTTTTGTTGCCTTACTCCATCAATCCACTGACACAATTCTTAATGCAGACATTTTAATCTTTTGTGAATAAAGTTACATTTTACCTTTGTATATATGGAAACTTTTGGGAGACTCTGTAGATTGAATTTGATTCTATATTTACCATTTCTCATAATTCACGCAAAACGTCGACGACTGCTAAAATACGATTTTTATCAAATTCCTAACAACTAACATTCTTTGTTATACCAAGTTTAATAAGTGAAAACACAGCAATGAGTAAATAATACTTATTTATCATTTGTAAAATAGTTTACCTTCATTGATAAACTTGTCTTTTGACCAGTAAAAGACAACACTTTGACTTTTACTTTTTGTCCTCTTTGAACAACATCACTTACACTAGTTACTCGTCCTTCTCTTCTAAGCTGCAAATTGATTTAAACTTTATATTAACATTAAATTTTCAAACATCAATTTCAAAAATAACTATTATTTTTATAAGGAAGGAAAATATTAAGTTTATAATATTTAATCTTTACAAATTACTTATGAAAGAAATAATATAAGGAATGAATTATAAATTTAACTTCAATTAAAAATAAGCTGTTCTTATTTCTAAAATGATATTAAATAAAACTACTTTCAAATTACAGTATAACCTATATGCATAAATGTATTCACATTTACAATTCAATATCACTTAAGATAATTGAAGACTCGTAATTACTACAATATCAAATTATTATTTTAATACAGTTTAGGCATATTTATTATCTTGTTTGAACTAAATAAAATGGTTTTTCATAATATTCATTGGAATGCTTAGTAAAAATTTTTGTTAATATGATGATGATTTATAATGTAAATTTTAAAATAATCAAATCACACACTTTTATGAAATATAAAATACCTGTGAAATGTGAACAAGACCTTCCCATCTTTTTCTCAATCCTTCTAGTTGAACAAAACATCCAAATTGCATTATGTTTGTAACTTTTCCACTGTATATCTGGAAAAAAGTGTTTTTAATTATATCTGAAATAAATTATAAATAAAGTAATAATTTAAAATAAATTACCTGACCAACCACTGGACCCAATGGTAACTGACTTTTTTTATCTTTCATATTTTCTCTTTGATCATTCTTTTCCCTTCTATCTCTAGAATGAGATCGTGATCTTGATCGACGTCGTTTTCTTGAAGGGGTTCTTGATCTGGAACGCCTCTTTTCTTTATTTGATCGGTGAGAGTGTGAATGGCTAAATAAATAATTAAATAAAATTAATCATTTATAAAGTTCTGTATTCTTATTTTAATTCATTAACAAAAATATCATTTTAGGCTGTCAATACAGATATTTTGAATTAATTAATATAATCTATAAAATTGAAAAGTTTTATTTTAATTTAATTAATGTTATTAAAATATTAATTTTCGGTTTCAAAAAATTTTAATATATATATTTATTTAAACTTAAGAAAGTAG